GCTTTCAAGCATGCGGTTGATGAACATCTCACCCTGCGTGTTCCTCTGCTCCCACTTTGCCGGATTCAGGCTTATGCTTTCCAAGGTCAGCCCCGAGATTTCTTTGTCCTCACGGCTTCGATTTTTATCTTCTGCTCCTGACTTGAGAGTCCGATGAGCCAGATTTTGGACAGCTCACGTCAGCGTTCAAACCACCACCATTGATGCATCTGTGCAAATTCTGTGCACTCCGGGTTAAACATTGTGCAAACTACACATTGCGACCATGCATCAAACATTGACACCCTCCCAACCCACACCTGCTTCCAGTTTCTTGATGGTCCACGCGAAGCCAGCGGTGCAGCGGTTGTCCCAATCCTGAGCCCGCCGTCAACAGCAACCGCCTGACAAACGGTTAAACCTGAACACATGCTTCACCGATAGAGAAAGTTTCCTTTTGCCCTGGAAAATTGTTTGCGATCGGAGATCACAACCCCAACGAGCCCTACGCGTGCCCTTCCCTTCAATCCCTGAGTTGGCCGGCCCCTATGCCACTTCGTTGGAAGCAACCGGGAATTGTGCGATCAATTTAAGCCCCGCATCTAAGTTGTCCAAGTGGACCCCTTTCGGTGAAGAGATGCCCAGAGAAAAAGCCGTTGCCGTCGGACTCGGCCCGGGCTCGACGGTTTCAGGAGGCGCGGCGCCGGCAGGAGGCGCAGGTGAGGAGCCTGGCGGAGGGCCAGAGTCGGCTGCTGGCGATCGTGGAGAACTTGTCGGGGGACACGGACCGGCAGTTCAGCTCCAGCAGCCAGGCCAAGGCGGAGGCGGGAGCACGGCGATTGATCGAACGCGTTTCTTATAATTCCGACAAACCTGCTTTTCCAGCACCAGGCTTAGCGGGCTTTGGAAGTCTTGGGGTGGTAAGGGCCTTGAAACGCTCAAGAACTTCTTTTTTTTGGGGGGGCTGAGCCTCACCATGCCCCCGCCGCAAAGCAGTGAATCCCTCCCACCCCCCAAGCACTAAAGGCAATATTGGCAGGTATAACCAGATGCCCTTCTAGAAAAAACAAGATGGCAAAGTGCATCCCGGTGGTTTTGTGGAAGCCATCGTAGAGTCCTACTACCACTAAATCACCAAGAGGGTGATTTTTACAAACCAATGCCCAACCACGTCCGTACGTGTCAAAATAGGTGCTCTCTCAGAGTGGCGTCGGTTTTCCTTTTACCAGTGCCGAGCCTCACACAAACGCAGAAACCAACCCACCAGCCAACCAGCGAGCTAGCCAACCAACCAAGGCTTGTGGTTGGAGGGTGTCCCTTCTTGTTACGTGTGATTTTCCCGAGGCTTTGGCCACCGTGGAGCGGGTCGTTGGCACTGTCGAGGAGCTGCGCCGCACGGTGGACCAGGACGGGGATGTGGTGAACGCTCGGCTCCGGGAGCACGGTCTTGCCATCGACGAGACCCGAAGGCCTGGTTTGTGTGTTGGATGGGTAGGTTTGGCGCTGGCTGGCTGTCCGGCAACCCTAGTTGGTGATTGGGCGCAGGGCAACTCGCGCAAAGCAACATGCGCCGAGCGCTCGCAGAGATCGACGCAGAGCAACTTGCGCAGGGTACAAATGCACAGAGAGTGCCACAACAACAAAGACTTGCGTGAAGAGCTTCGCACGCCAAAAACGCCATTCGAAAAGAGCCACTTGCGCAGATAAGTTGCAGCAAGTGCGCAGAGCAATCTGCAAAAACCAACTTGCGGGCAGTATCCAGCGTCGCGTCCGATGCTGCGCAGTTTCCTTGCATGCCAAGCTGCGCTTGCCTGCAGATACTTTAGCTCGTTACGTGGAACGCTCTATCATCGGAGTGGGAGGATCGGGGGCTCGACAAAACATGGCTGCAACATGCTTTCGGGCCAATCGTCCTCTGGACAACTTGTAAGCAGGCAAGCTGCTGCGGCTGCCGCGGTGCATTCCGTGCACAACTTTGGCGAGAAGCCATCAATTTTTTCTCGTTTCTTGTTTTCTTTCGTTTCCCGGCCTTTCCTGTCCTGTGCGGGCCTGCCTTTTTCTTTTGTCCCCTTTCTTTCCATATTTCTGGGTAGTAAGCAGGCAAGCTCACAGTTGGTGAGACACCATTTGTTTTCTCTCGTTTCTTGCTTTCTTTGGCCGGGCTGCCTTGGATACTATAGTGGGCGCCTTTGAAGGAGGGCCCTTTTCCTGCCTTTCCTTGCGTGCTAGTCGTGTTAAGTGAAATTTTGTCGGGGTTTGGCATGTTTTCCCTGGGCGCTTGGAAATTGAATTTTAGTCGGCGCTTGAGCGCCGTCTCGTTGAGTGATGGTGGAGTGGCTAAGCGGTTGTTGAGTGGTTGAGTGGTTGAATCATTGGTTGGTTGGTAGGTTGGTTGGGTGGAGTTGGGTGGAGTTGGGTGGAGTTGGGTGGAGTTGGGTGGAGTTGGGTGGAGTTGGGTGGAGTTGGGTGGAGTTGGGTGGAGTTGGGTGGAGTTGGGTGGATTTGGGTGGATTTGGTTGGTTGGTTGGTTGGTTGGTTGGTTGGTTGGTTGGTTGTCCTTTCTCCCTCGGTTGAAAGGAAAACCACCCGTTTTTACCTGACATCCCGTCAAATTACCCTTAAAGCGGTGTGTGTGTGTGTGTGTGTGTTTTGAAGGGTGTGTGTGTGTGTGTGTGTGTGTCTGTGTTTTTTGAGGGCGCCCTTTTGCAGGTGCCCCTTCATTTGTGGTTAGGATTGCTGGCTTGGGATTTGAACCCCGGGTTCTTGTAGAGCTTGTAGAGGGCGCGCCGAAACCACCAATGCTGAAGCGGAAGCTGAAACAAACATCAATTTTGGCACACGCACTTGCCGAAGAGAAGCACGAACGCGAGAGGGGCGGATGGCCGTCCATTACAGCAGGTTTCCAAAGGAAATTCTGAACGGCCCCAAACCACGCGTCGACTTCCTTGCAGGTCTGTGGCCGAGGATTTAGCGCGGCTGCGGGCCGCGCAAGCCGAAAACCAGCGCCAGAGCGCAGAGACGGCGTCGCGGCAGCGCCAAGGAGGGGACACGTGACTTTGTGCGTGTTGTATCCAGTGCCCTTTTTGGGCATTTGGGTCTGTTTTTTGAGGGAACCCTGCTTTGTGGTTTTACAGGAAAACAAAAGAGATAACACTATTTTCCATAAAAATGAGGCAATGACATAATTTTTGTAGGTAGCTTGAGGGCCCCCACTTTTTGAGGGGTTTCCTTTTGTTGTCATACTCATGGGGCTGAATTGGTGATGGGCTTTGACTGTAGACGCCAAAAAATGTCGGGGTTCCTCTTCACGAAGGAGGGATGCTGCATTTATTGTGTCGCTTCAGTTCCTCACAAATTCGGACAAGCGACTTGAAAATGCCATTCTGTCTGGCCTTGGTTTCCCGGCGAGCCTTGAATCCAAACGACCGGCCTGGAAAAATGCCGGCTGTGCGGAGCAGGATGCAAAGGAAGTTGCGTTCGCAATGAGGTCCGCTCACGCAAGTAGATCGAAGGAGGGTGGGCTTGTACATGACACATCGGTGCTTTTGCTTGCTGGTGCCCAGAAAGGCTGGATGGGCAGCGACAGGAGAACCGGCGATAGCAGTCATAGTCTCCTTTTGGCTTCTCTTTGAGCCAACCCCAAGTGAGCCACAATCAACACCAAGGTAGATGAAGGTTAGGGGCAGTCCCAGCCAGAAATAGTTGCGGCACAATCAACACCAGGGTAGATGAAGGTTAGGGGCAGTCCCAGCCAGAAATAGTTGCGGCACAATCAACACCAAGGTAGATGAAGGTTAGGGGCAGTCCCAGCCAAAGTTGCGGCACAATCAAACACCAGGGTAGATGAAGGTTAGGGGCAGTCCCAGCCAGAAATACACCAACAGGTAGATGAAGGTTAGGGGCAGTCCCAGCCAGAAATAGCTGCGGCACAATCAACACCAGGGTAGATGAAGGTTAGGGGCAGTCCCAGCCAGAAATAGTTGCGGCAAATCAACACCAGGGTAGATGAAGGTTAGGGGCAGTCCCAGCCAGAAATAGTCGCGGCACAATCAACACCAGGGTAGATGAAGGTTAGTGGCAGTCCCAGCCAGAAATAGCTGCGGCACAATCAACACCAGGGTAGATGAAGGTTAGGGGCAGTCCCAGCCAGAAATAGTTGCGGCACAATCAACACCAGGGTAGATGAAGGCTAGGGGCAGTCCCAGCCAGAAATAGTTGCGGCACAATCAACACCAGGGTAGATGAAGGTTAGGGGCAGTCCCAGCCAGAAATAGTTGCGGCACAATCAACACCAGGGTAGATGAAGGTTTGGGGCAGTCCCAGCCAGAAATAGTTGCGGCACAATCAACACCAGGGTAGATGAAGGTTAGGGGCACACACAGGGTAGATGAAGGTTAGGGGCAGTCCCAGCCAGAAATAGTTGCGGCACAATCAACACCAGGGTAGATGAAGGTTAGGGCAGTCCCAGCCAGAAATAGCTGCGGCACAATCAACACCAGGGTAGATGAAGGTTAGGGGCAGTCCCAGCCAGAAATAGTTGCGGCACAATCAACACCAGGGTAGATGAAGGCTAGGGGCAGTCCCAGCCAGAAATAGTTGCGGCACAATCAACACCAGGGTAGATGAAGGTTAGGGGCAGTCCCAGCCAGAAATAGTTGCGGCACAATCAACACCAGGGTAGATGAAGGTTTGGGGCAGTCCCAGCCAGAAATAGTTGCGGCACAATCAACACCAGGGTAGATGAAGGTTAGGGGCAGTCCCAGCCAGAAATAGTTGCGGCACAATCAACACCAGGGTAGATGAAGGTAGGGGCAGTCCCAGCCAGAAATAGTTGCGGCACAATCAACACCAGGGTAGATGAAGGTTAGGGGCAGTCCCAGCCAGAAATAGTTGCGGCACAATCAACACCAGGGTAGATGAAGGTTTGGGGCAGTCCCAGCCAGAAATAGTTCCCACCTTTAGTCAACACCAGGGTAGATGGTAGGGCGGTCAGCCAGAAATAGTTGCGGCACAATCAACACCAGGTAGATGAAGGGGGAGATTAGTTTCAGCCAGAAATAGTTGCGCTGCAATCCAACACCAGGGTGCGGAGCAAATTTAGGGGCAGTCCCAGCCAGTAGTTGCGGCACAATCAACACCAGGGTAGATGAAGGTTAGGGGCAGTCCCAGCCAGAAGTAGTTGCGGCACAATCAACACCAGGGTAGATGAAGGTTAGGGGCAGTCCCAGCCAGAAATAGTTGCGGCACAATCAACACCAGGGTAGATGAAGGTTAGGGGCAGTCCCAGCCAGAAATAGTTGCGGCACAATCAACACCAGGGTAGATGAAGGTTAGTGGCAGTCCCAGCCAGAAATAGTTGCGGCACAATCAACACCAAATAGATGAAGGTTAGGGGCAGTCCCAGCCAGAAATAGTTGCGGCACAATCAACACCAGGGTAGATGAAGGTTAGGGGCAGTCCCAGCCAGAAATAGTTGCGGCCCATCAACACCAGGGTAGCTGAAGGTTATGGCAGTCCCAGCCAGAAATGGCTGCACAATCAACACCAGGGTAGATGAAGGTTAGGGGCAGTCCCAGCCAGAAATAGTTGCGGCACAATCAACACCAGGGTAGATGAAGGTTAGGGGCAGTCCCAGCCAGAAATAGTTGCGGCACAATCAACACCAGGGTAGATGAAGGTTAGGGGCAGTCTCAGCCAGAAATAGTTGCGGCCGCCTTCTTAATTCTTTTCATGGTTCTGGGTAGACCCATTTTTATACCGGGTTTTGAGCAAGTGACTCAGGTGCTTTCCATCGAGTTCCCCCCCACCCCCCCACACCCCCCACCCCCCACCCCCACCCCCCACCCCCCACCCCCCACCCCCACCCCCACCCCCACCCCCACCCCCACCCCCCACCCCCCACCCCCCACCCCCCCCCCACCCCCCCCTTTCCGCCAGCTAGCCGCCAGGCAGCGACGAGCTGGCCACCACGGCGGCTTCGGTGGCCGCCACGCGCCAGGAGCTAGCGGAGCTGTCTCGCCTCGTGCAGGGCCTGGATCGGAAGTTGGGCAGCTGGAAGGGAAGCTTTGACACACATCGCGCCGTTTTTTTTTCTTTTTGTTTTATTATTTTCGTTAGTGATTATTATTATTATTATTATTATTATTATTATTATTATTGTATGTATTTCATATTTTATTTTCTGGGCCTGCGGCCTCTAGCCGGCTACGCCTCTTTGAAGTTATACCATGTCATGTCATGTTTTGTATGAGAAACCCAACCCCAGATGATGCCGGGGATGCCAGCTTTCTGGGCCCCAGCCCGGCCCCAACCCAGAAGGCTGACATGGGGTCGCGCGCACGCGCGCGCCAGAGGCCCCAGAAAGAGCAGCCCAAAAAGAGCAGCCCGCAAGCCAGCCCGGAAACGCAAATGCAACAAAACACCGTAAATAGCAGCGTTTTGTGGCTGGGGTCGCGCGCGCGCGCCAGAAGGAACATGATGAGGAAAATGATGATGATGATGATGATGATGATGATGATGATGATGATGTTGTTGAACACCACCATCATCACTTTCATCATCATAAATCATCATGATCATGATCATCATCATCATCATTTTCATCATCATGTTCGTCATCATCATCATCATCATCATCATCATTTTCTTCATCATGTTCATCATCATCATCTCCTCATCATGATCATCATCATCATCTCCATCGTCATCCTGATGATAATCATCACTCCGCACCCTCGGCATCACCAGCAGTAGTTATCATGAGAATCATGACAACGCATCCTCTGCATTTCCAGTCGGGTCTAACGGCACACTTGAAACGTATATGGAAAAGAAGAGCGCGCGCACGGTTTTGATGATGAACATGATGACATGATGACATGATGATGATGATGATGAAAATAATGATGATGATGATGATGAACATGATGATGATGATGCACCACCATCATCACTTTCATCATCATTTTCCATCATTATCATTTTCATGGTCATGTTCATCATCATCATCATTCTCATCATTGTTCCTCATCATCCTAATGATAATCATCACTACGCATAGCAGTTATCATGACAATCATGACAACGCATCCTTTGCATGTCCAGTCGGGTCTGCACACTTGAAACGCATATGAAAAAGAAGAGCGCCACGGATTTGATGAGGAACATGATCGCTGGAAACGTAGATGAAAAAAGAAGAGCTCCGTGGTTTTCATGGTGAACATGATGAGGAACGTGATGATGAAAATGATGATGTAATGATGATGATGATGATGATGATGATGATGAAAATGATGATGATGAACACGATGATGAACATGATGATGAAAATGATGATGATGATGATGAACATGAAAATGATGTTTATAATCATCATCGTGTTCCTCATCATGTTCCTCATCATGTTCATCATCATCATCATCCTGATGATAATCATCACTCCGCATCCTTAGCATCACCAGCAGTTAACGTCATCACTATGCATTCCCAGCATCAGCAGCAGTTATCATGAGAATCATGACAACGCATCCTCTGCATTTCCAGTCGGGTCTAACGGCACATTTGAAACGTATAACAAAGAAGAGAGCCACAGTAATGATGATGATCCGGATGCTGTGAACCCTCACCCAACATGATGATAACCATCACTAAGACAAGGACAAACACAAACCCTTCCCATGCGCCTCCCCTTTGAAGAAAGGTTCCGGCGGATTTTCATAGGGGACCCCCACAATGTTGTTTTTTTTTGCTGTGGGGTTCCTTGCGTCCCACTAAGAAAGGGGCGGACACACCCCGAACGGTTGGGGGGAGTTGGTGCCCAAAAAGTAATGCGGTCTCCTACAACGAGGACTGGAAGGGACTGACAGCCGAATCCGCGAATGGCTGGCTAGTGCTTCAGTGTTCCCTTGCTACAAGTTGGATATGTCCAAACCTCTCTGATCTCCAAACTATGGCCTACTGGCCGGAGTCAAAAAGAAATCAGTGTCGCATCATAGTCTCAAGGGTATATTTGTCTTAAATGCATGAACCCCTGGTTTTCTGTTGGGTTTTGCTTGAAGCAACCCATCAAGAAGTGTGCCAAAAAACACACCCCACATTGTCAACAAACCGTCTTGAACATTTGGCCTCGGGCTGTGAATTTGCTCGTGTTTGGTTTTAGCGTTTGTTGCCATTTAGTGTGTGTGTGTGTGAGAAAGACAGGTGCGGGTTGCATTGATTTCTGATCTTTTGGGCAAACGAGGTGAGGTGAAGGTTGAAGTCCTTGAGGAGGTTGCTGGATCACACTCCTTGCATGACTCGGACCGCTTGAAACTTGACTCCCTTCACCGCGAGATAACGCAGATGGCTGCCACCCGCATCGACCTGGAGTCTCGAATTGAGAGGCTCAAGGTAGAGATCGCAACAAGCTTGAAGTCAAAGCCTGATGCCGAGAGCCACCTCAGGGAAGTACAGAGCTTTTTGACCAGACGCTTGGATGACGTAGAATTTGCATGCGAGAACCTGCGGTCAGAGCTGTCCACCGCAACAGCCACCAGGATCGAGAACTTGGAGGCAAGATCCCAGGAGGCCCTGCAAAGCTTGTCGCGGCGCTTCGACGCGTTGCAGGTGGCCGCGGCAGAGGACGTGGAATCAGCGCGGCTGGATATCAAGAAGCTGTCTTCATCTCTGAAGTGGCTGGAAGACTCACACGGCTCGCACGAGAAAACATCTTCGGAGATCCGCTCTGCTTTGGCTGCGGTGCAAGATGCCTCCGCACAAAATGCTTGGCAATCCTCGAGGGACGCGCTGCGGTCCGAGATCACCCAAAAGGTCACAGACCTGGTTGGGCGTGTTGACCAGCTGGAGTTTGAACTGACCAGCACGCGGGCCACCCGCGAAAGTTTCGAGTATCGAGTTCGAGACTCTACGGCTGAAACGCGGCAGAGTGTTGATCTCCTGAAGGGTGATGTGACTGCCCTGAGTCACCGAATTTCTTCGGAGTTGGAGGATTGGAAGGCTCAGGTGCAAGAGGAGTTTCAGCTCCAACGGGTGTTGAAAGGCGAGCTGGCCGAGGTCAGGGCTTTCTTCAAGGAGGAGCAGACTGCGCTGGCAGCGCTGGATGAGCAGCTGTGGCTCACGGATCAGCGCCTGGGCCAGCGAATCGATGAGCTCCTGCAGGAGGTCCAGGCGGGTCAGCGCGGGGAGCGGCTGGCGGCATCCGCCTGGCGATCTGAGAAGACCTTCGACCGCGAACGGCTGAGCCGGCGCCTGGAGCCCTGCTTCGAGCCTACGAGCTTTGCACCTTGCCTGTGGGTTGTTTAGCCCCCGGTTCCCGGCTGTGCGCCTCAAACTGAGACACAGCGAGAGAGAGAGAGGGGGAGTCTGAGGCGGAGAGCGACATGGGAGCTCAAGCTCATGGTTCCTTGTCCATGGTGCGGCAGGCCTGGGATGCCCAGTGAGGTGATTTTGATTGGAGGGCCATTTGTGTTAGGATTTTTTTTCGTTAAAAAAGAATCCCAAATTAAATCTCGACCCATTTTGATTCCTTCTGCGGCTGGAGGCAGCGGAGACCCTGGCAGAGCATGGCGGCCTCGACAGGAGATAATTGAGTGCTCGAGGTGTGCGCCAAGGCCAAAGGAAGGGCCTGGTGTCACATTCTCAAGGAATTTGCAAGGTGCCAGAGGCGATGCTGTGCATGTAGATTATGGAGCTAATGGACACGGAATGAATAAATGAAACTTGGCAATGTTGAGCCTTGGCGATGCAGACGTTGTTTTGAAGCGAAATGGGCAACCTGCTGAAGTTCTGCCCGGCGCATTGCTGGCCCCAGCTGAGCAGAGCTGCCAGTATTGCAGTGACCCCTCAAAATTGCCATCTAGAAGTTCATGAGCACGTAGCAGCCCTCCTGCTAACGCAGCAGAAACACCTGGCTGGGCACAGCCGGTCCCGTCAGTTAGCGCAGTAAAGGCAGGCCATGAATCCACAGCATTTCGAACTCCTGAAAGGCCATCGCCTCAAGTGGAGGGTATGCACTTGACATCTTGCCATTCACCATGAGGTCTCGTCAATCCAAATTATGTTGAGCAGGCAGCGCAGGCGGGACCGTTCTCGGGGGCATTCGTTTTGAGGGTAGCCTGGCTTTTCTCACGTGCTCAGGCCAGGAACTCGCGGTCCAAGCATTTTACGGCCTTGTTCACGCCCGCCCGTCAGTGTGAGCACTCGTTTCAAGCGTTCGACCATGAGTCAAGGGACACAGCGTTCAGGCAACGCCGTCTTCCAGATGTTGGATGGAAAGAGGTCGGCACGATTGTCATGCTGCTTGTGTCCTCATGGTGGACGGCAATTTAGAATTCCCCGCATCAGCATGCCTTGAACAAGCATAAACATCGTCTCAAAATAGGCTTCTGTCACAAACAAATTCAGAAGGCTCACATCTATAAAACCACTGCTCGAGCTCACGCAAGCATCAATTCTAAAGCGAGATCATCCTTCACAGTTCCCAGAAGTCGCTGTCTGGCAAAAGCCAGCACAGACAAATGGTTGAAAGGACCCCACTGAGCTTGACTTGCCGTGCAGAAGGGATCTTGGCGGTTTGTGGGCACGCTGTGGCTCAGCTCGGCCATCAGGAGGATATCCAGTCCTTGCTGGAGGAAATGGCGCCAGCGACCTGGAACTTGGGAGCAGTGTCAGGGTCAAGCGCCCGAGATCCAAACCTGACATTTACCCCTTTCACCGCTGAGCCACTGCCAATGAAGGGGACTGTCCTTCAGATGGGTCGACATCAGCGCTTTTTAAACAGCTTGGCAGATGCTTTCCGAATTTGTTCTGCAGCCCTTTTTACCTCAATCATGTCTCGGTGTCGCTCTGCACGGCAGGTTGTGGCGCTTATTTCAATCAAGTGGCAGCCGTGATGCATGACACATTGTTCCACTCACGGTAGCTTCTGCAGCATCAACTGGTGCTAGAGTGTTAGAGAGTTTGGCACACATGCCGCGGCCCTGGCGATCCGGTGGCAATGAAGGCCAAGGAGAACACGGATGCGCCCAATGCCGATGGCGAGGTTGAGGGAACCGATCTCAAAGCTGGCGAAAAGAAGCGGAGGACGTTGGACACCTTGGATAGTGGAGGGCAAGGTGTTGATATAGAGCCCCGAGCCCAGCCTGACGTCAGCAACACGCCGGAAGGGCACGGGCGGAGCGAGCAGAATGGGCAGAAGAAGAAGAAGAAGCCGAAGAAGATTGCGGAGCAACGGGAAGAGGACAACCAGGAGGCTGAGCCAGAGGACAACGAGGAGAACAAGGAAGTTCCCAATGGCGATGCCGAGGTTCAAAGAACCGATCTGAAAGTTGGCAAAAAGAAGAAACGGAAAGCATTCGACACCTTGGATAGTAGAGGGCAAGGAGTTGATATAGAGCCTCGAGCCCAGCCTGACGTCAGCAACACGCCGGATGGGCACGGGCAGAACGAGCAGAACGGGCAGAAGAAGAAGAAGAAGCCGAAGAAGATTGCGGAGCAACGGGAAGAGGACAACCAGGAGGCTGAGCCAGAGGACAACGAGGAGAACAAGGAAGTTCCCAATGGCGATGCCGAGGTTCAAAGAATCGATCTGAAAGTTGGCAAAAAGAAGAAACGGAAAGCATTCGACACCTTGGATAGTGGAGGGCAAGGAGTTGATATAGAGCCTCGAGCCCAGCCGGAAATCAACGACACGCCGGATGGGCACGGGCAGAACGAGCAGAATGGGCAGAAGAAGAAGAAGAAGCCGAAGAAGATTGCGGAGCAGCGGGAAGAGGACAACCAGGAGGCTGAGCCAGAGGACAACGAGGAGAACAAGGAAGCGCCCAATGCCGATGGCAAGGTTGAGGGAACCGATCTCAAAGTTGGCAAAAAGAAGAAGCGGAAAACGTTGGACACCTTGGATAGTGGAGAGCAAGGTGTTGATATGGAGCCTCAAGCGCAGCCTGACTTTGGGCAGAAGAAACGGAAGCCGAAGAAGATTGAGGAGCGGCAGGAAGGGGACAACCAAGAAGCCGAGCCAGAGGACCCTCAGGAGAAGCCTCGCAAAGCGAGGGAGGCGGCCCCCAACCGCAAGAAAAAGGCGGAGCAAAACACGGGAGACGCGCAGGGCGACGGTGAAGCTGTCACGCCTGGTGCAGAACCGGCAGGAGAGACCTGCCTCAAGGTCTGTGCTGCCAACCTCCCGTATTGGTTTGACAAGACCCGTATCTGGCGGTATTTCCGGCATGCCGGCGAGGTCCGGCATGTGTGGGTGCTGCGGGAGTCTGGGGAGTCTCGGGGGATTGCCTTTGTTACCTTCGCAGACAGGGCAGCGGTCAAAGAGGCGCTGGAATATGATGGGACGAGTCTGTGGGGGAATGTGATCAGAGTGAACCTCGCCCTTGACAAGGATAGCCCAGATTCAGATGCCGCAGATGTGACAGATGTTCGGAAGGGCTGGGGAAAGGGGTGGTCTGGTGGTGGAAGTTGGGCTGGTCAAATGACAGACAGGCCAGCCGAAGGGAAGGCGAAAGGCAAAGGGAAGTCCAAAGGCACAGCGCCCGCGCTTGCTTTGGCAGACCGGCCTCAAGGCTCTCTTGGACTGATGGCCAGAGGCTTATCCTTCGATGCCACCGAGGAGGACCTCAAGAAGGCGTTTGCAGACTGCGGGGTTGCGCCCACAAGGATCCGAGTGCTGGTTGACAAGGCCACGGGCAAATCCAAAGGCAAGGCCTTCATCGATTTTGCCGACGAGTCCTCCTTGGCAAAGGCAGCTGGGCTGAACGGCACCATGCTGAAGGGGAGAAGCTTGAGACTCGAATTTTCGCGCGCCGCTCAATAGCGTGCTCCCAGGTGTCAGGGGGCGAAAGTTCGCTGCGAAAGTAGAGGAAAACCACGCTCTTGCGGCAGATGCTCCAAGGAACATGAGCTCTCAATCAAGCCTTGTTAGTCACATGCACAGCTGAAGCTATGCCCTCGTCACAGCTTGTGGGCAAGTCAAGAATCGGAATGCAGCCCGCCAATGAATAGGTCATTTGACACCAACAACTTCGAGGCTGTGACCGCCGGGAGGGAGGGGTTCCCCAGCCGCCATCTCCACGCTCAATTCCCTTGAATCTTGGAACTTGAATTTTTTTCAGAGCTTGGTGGCAGGGGAATGTCGGCGTTGGCGAGAGAGAAGGCCCGGACGCAGCTGCACATTTGCAGGAACGCCGTTTTTTGTTTTGTTTGTCAGGCCGCGTGTACTCTGATCTTGTTCGTCGAAGACACTTTGGCCTCACTCATGGTGACCTGCATGCAGTTTCAGCTGTCCATCTTGCAGATATGACTGTGCCGTGGGTTTCGGGATGTTGCCCAAGGTATTGGTCGAAGTGGAGATGTCATGGCGGGAGCCTGTTCTCGGATGTTTTGCAGTAAAACACATATTCCGTTACAATATTTAATGCCCCCCTGCTGCGCATTTGGAAAGTGACTTGGACACCCGCTTGACAACATGAAATGGATGTTGGACGGGTCAATCGTGCATGCATGGCTCTCGTCTTTGCCTCAGGCAGAGCAGCCAAAAGCGGCAGGCTCTTCCTTGCTGGTTCAGCCAGACGCCCAGAGATTGCTTCCTGCTAGATCAGCCGTCGTGGGTGCCAGGCTCACCAAGTACTTGGCGCTAGATGCGATTCGCTTGGCCGGGCTGCTGCCTTAGCATTCATTTGCTAAGCTGCTGGCCTCCAGACATTGGCTCCAAGGATCAAAGCTGCAAAGGCCTGTGCAGTACTGCCTGCAGCCACAGGTGGGGCTTGAGTGCGCCTGTCCGCACTTGGATTCGGAAGTGCCCCAGGGCTGACGATGACCTTGGTGTTCCTCGCACTGCGGCAAATGAGGCGAGCAACGTCCGAGCTTGTCCTTCGGGCTTTCGGGGCGCCAGTCGCCAAGAGGATGCCAGAGTTTGGCCAGGCCGCAGGGGAAGTATGTCATTTGGTCCAGGACAGGGTCAATGCAGTCATGCATTTCTTCCGCGCCAAAGTTGGAAGTCCAAAGGATCGACCAAAAATCCTGCTTCAAGGCACGAACCTTGAGTGCAACCTTTGCGTGGCTCACAGATTACCCAAAAAGGCGATTGGGGCAGCTGGTCTCAAGCCAATTGTCATCGAACTGAAGCCCATTGAAGGCGAGGCGCCGGTCATTCTTGTCAGTCTGTCTTTGCCCGTGCAGGCTCCGATGCGCTGGGTACAGATGTCCAAGGCATCCGAAGCGCCATCGAGCGGGTTGGAGCAGAGGAGGCCAAGCGAGGCTGAACTTCGGCAGAGCCATGGGATCCATGCCAGGTCTTATGCATTTGCTGTACCACTTCGACTTTCGCGTGCCTTCGGTTGCAGTTTGGCATGGGGTGTTGGGGGTCATGAACAGGGTGTTGTGTCAAGGGAAGGCAAATATTCTCAAGGACCATCGCCAGTTGGTGCCAGGCCAAGGGTGCCCGACTTTGTTGACGAGGTGGCTGTTCTGGCGAGTGAATTGGCAGTGCCTGGGCCTTCTCTGGAAGCTTTGTCTGTGTGACACAGACCGCCACCATAGGCCACATGTAATCAACAACGCGTGCTCAAGATGTTTGGGCGCTGGGCAGTTGATGTTTTTTTTTGCCCCGAGTTTGCTCATCTTGGAGGTACGGGCTGCAGTGCTCTAAGTGCACCCACTTGATAGAGGCACGAGTGCTTGGCATGTTGCCGAGCAAGACTTCAAACGACCTCTGTGCCTTCCCTTGCCAGACTGGCTGCCGCCGCGGCCGCGTGGATGCTTTTGTGCGCTCAGCTACCTTTTAAGTGAGGCAAGGTGCGCACCTTTCCCTGAGCCGCCAGGTCCAAAGCACCGACAAAAACTTCCTTGTGCCGGTGGGTGGCGCCATTGTAGCAGGTCCAACGGCTGCACTTGTGGACAAGGCGGTGGCGGATGCTTTCTAAACTTGCTCTTCCTGGATGTGGTTGCCTGGCTCATGACACCGCGCCTGCAGGTATCAGGGCTTTACCCTGGAAGGGCCTCCATGAGCCCATTGTCTTGCACTCGATTCCCTGCTTTCTTCAGTGCGATCAATTCGGCCTCGATGCTGCACTTCTAAGGCTGGACTTGTTCATCACTTTGCTGCCTCCAGCTTAGAAAAGTACGACCTTGAGCTGGGCCGGGCTGGGAATCACTCGCAGGTCTTTAGGTTCCTCTGGGTGGACAGGGCTGTTGCAAGAAAGAAAGGAGCCCGAGAGCCCACCCCAGTGGCTGCAATGCCTCTGCTATTCTGCAGGAGAATGCCAAGTGGTTTGAGGAGCGTTTGTCAACGGCTTCAACCAAGTTGGGCCTGCTGCCCGGCACCGCAAACTGCGTCGCTCACCTCCTTGGCCCCTGTGTTTTTTGTTTTTGTTTTTTGCGCCCGAGGCCTTCGGGTGCTGAAGGCGTCGCTTTTTTGCCTGGCTCAAGGGCTGGTTTTGGATCACGCGAGCGCCAGGTGCCAGCCAACCGCATCTCATTCTGCATCGACATTTCGGCGCTGGGCAGGCCATTGAGCCGAACTGCCGAAGGCAATTGGTTGCAAACAGGTCGACTTCCGCCTGAAGCTTCCGGGCTCAAACCTGGGCCGAACAGCTATCCGACCGTCCAAAGAAGTCCTTCGATTGGAAGGGTGGAGCTGGTACTTGATAGCATTTTGGAAAGCTGTGATTCAGGGCGGCCTGTGTCCCACACCGCCTGTGCACGTCCGTGCTGAGCCATGGGGTCGGCTGGCTTCTTGACCAGCACACTTTCAATGAATGCCGCTGCAGGCAAGGCGTGTGCGGAGTGTGTGTTACAAGCTGGTGATTGGGCTCTCTGGCTGTCCCGCTTTGCGGCTGCTCGTCTGGTCGCACATCGTCTACGCCCCAACGTGGGACTCCCCTAGGAGTCGCATGCTTGCGGCGCGGCAGGCTCGAACTGAAAAAGCAGAGTCGGCGTGTCTCGCTGCGTGCTTCCGAGGCACCAGCCTTTCGGAAGTGAACTTGGCTTGACATGCGCGCATCTTAGCCGCCATTGCCTCAACACAGCATGCGGAAGAATGTCGAGGCCTGTGGCTTGCTCTTGCTCAGACTTCAGCTTTCACTGGGGCTTTCTTCGGGAGACAGCGTGGAAGGCTGGCTTTCGGCCTGGTAGTAGCTCTCCTAGCGACCAATCGGATAGGCGTTGACCCCGGACTTTCCTTCCAGAGTGTCCGCACCTTTTGCACGGGGGTTAAGAAGTCTCTGCATTTGTGGCAGTTGCGCTGAAGTTGGCGAGGTTGAGCTTGGCGGACCCGGCTCATCACTGGATACTCGGCTAAAAGATGCACCTCGTGTGTGGCAGGGGGTGGCTTTGTCGCCAAGGATTCGTCAGTTTCCGTGCTTGGACTTGCCACCAGCACGCTTTCGCGGATTTGCAGCGCTGTTTGATTGCAACTTGGCTGCCAACCTGCCCATTTTCATGCCAGCAGTTGGAATGCAAGGCGCCCCAGGCATTATCCTCATGCATGTCCTATGCGCGCGCTCCCCAAGAATTCAGCATTGCGCATGACGCAGCGCTCGCATGTGCAACTTGCTGTGAGGCCCAGAGGAAGTTGCTGCAGCTGTCCAATCCTTAGTCCTCCCCAGTTGGAAGGATGGGCCCAAAGCAGTCTATTGCAGCACCCTTCGGTCTCGCAGACATTTGCAGTGCCGTGACTGAACCGGCAACTGTCTGGACTATGCTCTGCACTTGCCATGGCAAGTCCTTTGTTCAAGTGCAGTTGTGTGGCTGCAGGGCCAGGTCCAGACACAGACACAATTTAAGATTTTCTCTCTCCAATGCAGATGTTTGTGAGCCGTAGTCGCTGAGGGAGTACCGGGCGGCACAAGAGCAACTTGTCGAAGCTCTGATGGTGCTACCATTCGCGGAGGAATGTCACCGCCCAAGCAGCTCAGTGAACAATGAAGGTTTGGCGAACTTGAAGCGGCGCAACATCTTGGATGTTGTTTGGTGTTCTTGAAGTTGCCAGCTTGTTTCAACCGCCCAGCTCGGCTCCAGCCTAGCGCTTTTTTTTTGCGTTGCATTGATGTGGGGTACATGAAAGGCGTCCGACTTTGCTCCAAGGGCTGCGGATGCCGATGTCCCCCGAACTTCAAAACCTGCTGCAGGGGCTGTGCCACCACCGGGCGCCACGACGAGAGGTGCCTGGGCGGCGCGGAAGAGCCTGAAGAGGAGGGCGCGTCGAGGCATCCAGTTCAAGTTCTGCCGGGCGGTCTTGTGACCGACCCAAAGAATTAGCAGTTTTTTTTCTTCTCCGACTTTTAGTTGGTTTTCCATTTCCGTTTCAGCTGGAAAAAGTGGCCGGCTGAAAAGTCGGATGTGGCGGGTTTTAAGTCCTTTCGAGGCGGCAGATGCGAACCCAGACGTGTCTTTGCCCTGCTTCGACGAGGTGCCCAGCTTGTTGCCACCGCCTCGCTGGAGCAACAGGGACGTGCCCCCCGTGAAGTGGGGGATGCGGTTCTCTCAGTTTGCTGACTTTGTGAAGGCTTGTTCAGGCACAACTTGCTGGGAGATGGCCCAGGGTGCGAAGGGCTACGTCAACTTGTATGACCTGAACATGGGCTTGCTGGTGAACTGGACCCGGCAGACGGGATGCAGCATCGCGCTGCGCATGAACCCAGGCGAGCCGCTGGCTGCGGAGTTGATGGTTTCGCATTGTTGGGCTGAAAGCGTGGAAGAATGTGGTGAGGCTTTGGCAGAGTACCGGCTGTTCAAGAGCATGTCTTCGGAACGAGTGCTATGGTTCTGTGCCTTCTCACAGTATCAAGCTGGCGACGAGACTGGCGATATGGGCCCGACAGTTGCAGAGCAGTTGCAACACGATCCCTTTGGCACAGTAATCCGCCATGTCAAACACTGCTTGGGCATGGTGGTGGTGCACACCTCTCGAGCAGAAATCTATTCCCGGCTGTGGTGTGTCTATGAAATTGCGGAGGCAGTTGCGATCCGAAGTGCAGTGGAAATCGCTTGCTCCGTCAAGTACATCAATACTGGAGCCGGAAAGCTTCGCGAGATGCTAGAGGCGAAGACTGAGATGGCCAGTTGCAAGGATCAGTCGGATGAGGAGCTGATCCGAGAGAAGGTGAAGAGTAGCTTAGGGTGGACTGCGCTGGATCGACTGATCTTTAGCTTCCGAGTGGGGGCGCTGCAACAGCTGGTGAAGCACCACAGGACCCGGCTGGCGCCCACCTTGGAGCAAGAACTGCGGCTGGTGGAGGACATGGTTCCCAAGATTCAGGAGAAAGCTCCTTCCAGAGATGAGGCCTGCTTGGCCAGTGCCGCCCGCGGCACGGTCGAGAAGGACGCCAGTGAGGATTCGCGGAACATCCTGCAGCGGATTTGCTCCTTCTTCGTTCAGATCTTTGAGCCTCCGCGCGAGCTACAGTCAGCACCAGCTCCAGATCCGCCCCTGAATTCAGCAATGTGTTTGTGGAGTTTCCTTGGAAAACTCATCCCTCTTGCAAATGAGTGCCCTGAAAGTGAACAGGGCGGACGTTTCAAACATAAACGAACTATTATAGTTGGAAGACGCTTCTTTTCCTCTTCTTTCTCTTTCTGTTTGCTACCACTTTCTGTGTCTCTTTTTTTCCCTTGCTCTCTGTGTCTGTGTTTGTGTCTGTGTTTGTGTCGTGGTCTGGGTCTGTGTCTGTGTCTGTTTCTTTCTCTTTCGCTTTCTCTTTCGCTTTCCCTGTCACTCTTTCCAGTCCATGACAGGAACAAGCGCAGAAAGCCCCGAGTTTTCTAGGGTCGACCCACCGAAAGTCCGCAGAGGGTTTACCTTTTGCTCACCTGGGTTTGGTGCTGCCCCGCAAAGAGCTACTGACGCTTCACTAGCTAAGTGAGGTGTGCTTCTGGCGACCGGTTGCAATGTGTTACGATAAGCCGGAAGCATTTTCATGTTGTAGTTGTTTCTAGCAACGCAGAGACCCATGCACGCCCGCTCTTGGAAGCGAGGGGTTCCAGGCTCGACCTGCTCGAAGATTGCAACGTTGCAGAAGCTCGCAGCAGGAAGGCTTGTGCCCACTCGCCGACAAACTTGCATAGACAACGCCGAGAGCTTGAGAGCTCGTAGGGAGGACTTCTGCAGAGACGCCCTGTGGAGAGGACTAGCGCAAGTAACTTGCAAGCGCTTGCGCAGAGTCTGTGGCGACGGAGCCCGGCGCCAGGCACCGTCAGCGGAGTGTGGCGTCAGAGAACGTGGTGCCAGAATGCGGCGTCTGCTGGGAACGCGACTGCGCAAGTTCTCGCTGCAAGTTTCTCTGCACAAAGGTCTGAGTGCAAGTTTCTGTGCCCAAGTTCTCTGAATTTGCTGCGCAAGTTCTGCGTGCGAGCCGCGCGTGGCTCCAAGTCTCTCAGCGCTAGCTCTCTGCGCCGTTTTTCTTTCTACGCAATCTTGGCCTTGGGAGGTGTCAGAACGCAGCGACAGGTTGTCAGAGGGGCATGTGGCTTCAGAAAATGTGAGTGTGGCGTCAGAATGGGGCGTCAGGGGAGAACTTGGTGTGGCGGCGCACGTCTCCGCAATGTGGCGCCAGAATGCGGATTCAGCTGGAGGCGTTGCGGCCCTGCGTAAGACCAAATTGAGGTTGACCCCCTAAAAGTTCGCAGAGGGTTGTGCGTGCGAAGTGAAAGTCGAAGAAGGGACTGCCTCCGTCAGGCGTCGCGACCGAGATGGTGTGGTGTGCGCGCATGCCAAAGAGCCGAATACACGTACAGGGCCTCGTTTTTTGCTAGGCTCCATTCTACTCCAAAGTTATCGCGATGTTCAGTTTGTTCTCAGCTTTTTTCGCATGCAACCATTTTCACCGAAGAAACGCAACTCAATTAGCCCCAGTACTACAGAAGTTCCTTCTAAACTTCCCTTGGTTACTTACCGGGTAATGTTTGAGGACGTCACTTAATAAACCCAATTCAGGGGCAATTTGTTGACATGAGCTCCAGCTTGCCAGGAATTTGGTGAGGTCGAGCCCGAGGAGGAGAATGAAGACAGCGTTTTGCGAGAGCGCCTGGCAATTCTCAAGAAGCTCCAGGCGGAGTTGGAGCAACAGGAACAACAATAACCGCGAGGGCAAGAGAGCTTGAAGGCACCGAAGAGGAATTTTCATAGAGGTTTCACCTGATGGAGAGAGTTCTGTCAGTGAATTGCGTTTCGCTACCTTTGCACCAAAGGTGCTTGAACAGAAAAGAGCGCGAAAGGCAATGCCATGCAACAGGCGGAGGGTCGTTCCTACGTGACTGGTCTGTCTCTGGAAAAGGGCTTGCCTTGAGGTCTGGAACCTCACGCCAAGCCCAAATGGCCGCTGTCCGTATTCGATGCGCGGAGCTGAGCATGCTGACAGCAGAGTTTGCTGGCGTTCTGCTGACTGAGGTCCACTCCAATTACATCCGCTTCTATCGTGCCATGTCGTACTACCACGAGACAGCCACCGCCCTGACGGATGTACCCTCTGCATGTGTTTCATAAAGTACTCTTGTTCGTTTGTGACGAGGCAGAACTACTTGAAGATTTGCTTTGGCAGCCCACCAGGAATGCGCCAGGGCCCGCAATTTCTGCTTGCCTTGCAAGCCAGGACCTGTGTAGATGACATGGGCTGTGAAGGACTTCCAGACCATGCCAGCGGCTAAGGGCTGGGTTCCCTACAGGCCTTCAGTCATGCGTGACGTGCCTGACTGAGTTTTGCAGCAGACTTCATCGCTGCGTTCCCAGACATGGCTGCCCAAGAAATGCGGAGGTGACCGGATAGTTTTTGAACCCCCACTGCGTCTGAAGCCTGCCAGGAATGCCCATTGGGTGAGCGTTGCACGGCTCTCTCTTCATACGGAGACGGCTGCAGTTTGCAGCTGTCGCCCCTTTGTGTGCAGCATGGAGAGCTGCAGGCACATGCGTGCAAGCAGTTTGATTGGCAGTTTTGAGCCGCAATTTGTGTTGTCAGGCATTTCATCCGCACAGCGCTTGCCTTTCTGCGGCCGAGTTCCCACACATGATCAAGGCAATCGCTCCGATTGAGTGCCTGGCAGGGGTGAGCCTTGCAAGGCTTGCTCAGAAATGGGCACAACCCTGTACCCGCTGAAGTGGTCATCATCACCTTATGCGAGCTATAGGGACCGCATTCAAGGACACAGAGCGAATGCCGCATCGCATGTAACATCTTTGCCCCAGGAGGGTCGGCCTTAGCGCAGCCCAAAGACGCCTTCATCCTGCCTGTGACTCTCAGATTGAGGATGGCAAGCCACGCAGCCTGGGCATGACAAGGATGCCTCGCTCGCAAGGAGCCCCTGGCATATGCTGCACTCCCTGGTTCCGGCCTATGCTCAATCGCACATGGATGAGCGCTACGGCTTGGCCAAGCTCGCAGGCCTCAAGATAAAAGGATTTTGGCGAGAGCTCTCGAGATGCCGGCTGGAAGGTGACTTTGACCTCCTTATTGTTGACCAAGACCTGGACAAGGACACTCACATCTGGCAGCAAGTATTTCGCAATGCCGCGAGCTCAAAACGGCAAATGCAAAGGCGTGATGATAGATTTTGAAGCATCTGGAGTCCGCCACTTCAGCCTTTGCTTAGGCTTCAGGAGATTCCATGGGCGGCCTGGACTTCTTGCTCAGGCGAGCTCGCGCATTTGTTTGTTCTGGTCCTTCAGCTTGTCCCGCACTGCAGGCTTATCAGCCACAGGCCCTACAAGCTGTTGGCTCAAGCCGAAGGCATTGGGCCGTTCGGCACTGGGCCGTTCGCCACTGACAGCTTTTCTTTCCGAGCGCAGGCTGCTACGAGCGAGCCGTGTGGGGCCACGAGCTAATGCTCTACTCGGGGGGCGGCTGGACCAGCGAGTTGCATATGACGGGGCCCCGGGGCCAATGGCTCGACGGCGCGAAAAGCGTGCGCTTGGCCGCGCCCAGGGCTGGTTTCGTCAGAGCCGCGTGGCGGTTGGATGGCCGCGCGCGCCGGGACTCGAAGGCCTCAGGGCTGCGCCAGGCAGGCAATGGCCGTCGTGGCTCGTTGCAGGACGCTCCGCGACTGCTCCTGGTCGAGAGGCGCAATGGCACTTCTTGGGGCCGATGGCGTGCTGCTCAGCCTTGGCCGCTGCAGAGTTGTGCATACGAAGCTTCCACATGAGGATTGACAACTTCCCTGATGTGCAATCCACAGCGCAGAGCTGGGCTGATGAGCACGAGGAGCAACACTTTGATCCCATTGAACGCCAAGAAGGGCAACCACCCAAACGAAATACCAGTGCATAATGCTGTCCTTAGCTCAACTCCTCCCCCCAAACTTCCCCTTGCGTAGCGCAATGCTGTAAGAACACATAAGTTTTGGTGCTTGCGTTTTAGTTCTTGGGCTGTGCTGAAAAGACATTCGGGCATGCCACGTTGCCGACAAATGCGTTGGTTTAAGATTGCTGCGATTGGCAATTGTTGATTGCGTGTGGGTTGATCGATGACTATTGGCGGCAGCGTAAGGCCAGCTGAAGCATCAAGCATAGCCCCATGAATCACCGTAGCGCGCAGCACACTTGGGCTTTGGGTAGCTTCTCTCCTCATGCTTCATTGCAGGAGCAGTGGCCTTTCGGATTCTCAGCTCACGCTTGAACCAGTCAGAAACGATGGCAAGCAACGGAATCCCCCCCAGCGGCAATGTGTATGAGGGGGTTCTCTGGTGTCCTTGTGGTTTTCCTCCAAACCAAGCTGAACAAGGCTCCCTCAAAACACACCACAGGCACCCACATGGGCTGCAGGACTTGCTCGGCGGCGTGGAAGCTGCAGATTTGGCCGATTTCTCCTGGCCAGAGCAACTGCGAATGGCTGCCAGGATGAGGCGTGACCAAGCGCCGCTCGCCTTTCGCCCCAAGCGAAATCGGAAGCAAGCATCGGCCGCTTGCCTAAGCCATCGCGTCTCTGAAAGGACCCAGCGAGGGAAGGGGAAAGCTTGGCTTACCAAGAGTCGTGTACTTGGCCGGCCAGGCTTTTATTCGGTGCTCACGGAGATGGTCTGAGCTGGTCTGTCTTCATGGGCCCGGGCTCCGTGCCGACCCCGGTGCTTATCCCTTGGAGCCGCCGTTTCGCCTGGGTTCTAGGCAGTGCTGGAGGCCGTGCCAGCCAGGGGTGCAGGATTTCAGGCGCGAACAGTGTCTTGCTGGGCGAATGGATCTATGGGTGAGACTTTGGATTTTGGGGCTAGGTTCACTTGGAAACGCCCCGGTCTTGCAACGGTCTTTTGTTGTCTCCCCTGGGAATAAGCACAATGTGTTGCCAGGCCTGCGCTGCTGCCTCAGCACCGCATCTCTTGAGTGTTTTGCGAACCATGTGTCGCTAACATGTGAGCGTGACAAGGACCAACACCACCCTTTTACTTGATTGGTAGGGGGTCATGGACCCCTGCATAGGTAGTTTAGACGACCATGATGAGCATCACCACCCACAAGGATTTTGACCTTGGGGCCCAAAATGCCGGCGATGGCGTCGGGCGAAAGAGACGTCACCAGCTGACTCAGGCGGAAGGTGCGAATGCAAACCCCTTTGGCATCTTCGGGGGGGTCGCGCGGTTGGCCGAAGTGGCGCATCTCTGTTGCGCCCTGAGATGGGTCAACCTGTCGCCACTTGAACGGGACGCATGTCTCAGGCTTCCTCAATGAAGCGTCAAAGGCCGGGGCGTGAAGCCGGCTGTAGGCAGTCGCCAGCCCTTGTTGGTGGTTTGGTTTGCTTGGTTCTTGTACAGAGTAAATGGGAAACCACCCTGAACCTCCAAACTACCAATCCAAGCCACCAATTGAAAGGAAGCTGAAAAACGGCTATCGCGCACAGTTTGCAGAAAGGCGTGACACGTCCGCCAGGTCTCAACCTTCCAACCGGATCAGAAGGCGCCACAAACAGTGTTTCACCCGCGCTGTCCTTTGAAATGTGCGTGTCGATCCGTCAGGACTTGTTCCAGTGGGGCTGGAGGCAGCCAAGTTCCCAGCTTCTGAGACATCGACTGGAGCCAGTTTGCAGATGGCACTGAGGCTAAACCTGCACATTGACCTTGCGAAATTCCGTTCTTTGCTCAGAGAGCTGAGCTTGCGCGTTGTTTTTTGGACTTGCTCAGGTGAATATTTGGCTTTGGCCGCAGACTTGGTCGCGGGCAGCGCGGAAAAAGTCTCTGGACACCTGCCGTTCTTGCTTCACCAAAGCCCAGAATTGGACGTTTTCTTATGCATGGCTGGCCTGCGTGGGGCGCCGGTTTCTTTCGTGGCTCGTAGTGCCATCATCGCGAAGCGATGTGCTTGGCAGGCGGGGTTGGGTCTGCAGCTTGAGGCTTCAGACTAGCTTTGCAGGTTGCCAGCTGGCAGAGGAGCATGGCTGAAGACTCGTTCGAGGAGTGGTTGCTGCCCTCAAAAATTGTATCGTGTGGCAACGTGGGGCTTGCGTAATGATGGGTGGTTGTGCATGGTGGAAAGTCTAGCCGGCCCTAGACATATGATGGGGGCTGTGTGGAGGCCTTGTGGGTTGCATGCATGTGGGTTTGGCTTGTCCTGTTCGATGTTTGGTTGATGGCGCTGCCAGTACCCCTGAGGGAACGATACTTTGCCAGGCAACTTTGATCCCCAGAAATAGTAACTGGAAGGGCTCTAAGTGAGGTAGGGGGCGCGCGAATGCAGAAGTGTAGCCAAAAGAGTCCTTCTTCAGGTCAAGAAAAACGGTCCTGCAGCTTGGCAGAGTTGGCCCCTAGCCTGGAGATCGCTTGCAGGGAGGTGGTCGCCAATAGGTGGATGGTCCTGAGGGTGAGCCAGAGGTCTATGGCTCTCTCGTCACACAGGACTACCTACGCGGAGGGGTCGGCCAGCTGGTTTTGGTGAAGCTTGGAAGACCAAGAGGAGAACAAGACGAGGCGACCAGATTCTTGGACCAGGAACGGCGCCAACTACGTGCTGCAGGAGGAGCTGATCTTCGGCCGAGGGCGGCCAACGGCTCGGGGCAAACCCATGCGACGCCGGACCAGCCCAATGGCAAAGATGATGATGGTCAGAAGCCGGGGTTCTGGGGGAGATGATCCAGGGCGATGAGAAGGGCGGCAATCATCCTGAAGCTCCTGGAGAGCATGCAGCAGATCCACAAGAAGCTCATCACCGGTAAGTCCAAACCCAGCGTGGTGGAGGCGGATTGCGCAGCTCAAGAAGGAGACGGGCTCCTCTGCTGTTCTCGTGCAAGTTCTGGTCGGGCCAGCTCGCACGGCAGTCAGTAGACGAAGCAGAAGTTCAGGAGCCAGCGTCTTTTCAGTGACGTTCTTGCCAGGAGCACATGGCTGTAAATGAAGGAAGGCCAAGAAAGGATCAACCTCAGAAAAAAGTCACAAAGTTCCACTCGAGCCGCTATGGTGGCCAAGTAACTTGTGAGGGGTTAAGTCAACTGCACTTTTGTCCAAAGCCACTGCAAGCTCCAAGCGCAGGGGCTTTCAGAGTCCGCCACGTCGCGTGTTTCGACGGCCGGGCGCCAAGGTCTTGCCAGCGCCACAGCCTACAGCTGGAGCTCAAAAATGAACTGTGAAGCGAACAACCCAACTGCCATCCAAGAGAAACAAATGCACCTGGCACCAGCTACCAGGCACTAGCCTATCGAATGGGTCTGCACCTCTAGGAAGCAAAGGCTTTGACCCTCTTGGCGCAGCATGATTGGTGTGTACTGTGAGCACCCACGCACGCGGAGAAGAACGTCAATTCCTCGAGCGGGGCGAACACGTGGAGGACAAGACCCATGGCAAGGATGAGGCGAGGACGCGAGGACCTGCTTCTCGTCTTGGCCCACGACTTCCGTAAGCATGCCCCTTCCAGGTCCTTGACATTGTTCGCAGTGGCATTGACGTTGCCACTGACCCTCCTCCGTGGGCGATGAGTTCTTCTCCATCCTCATCATTTGGGTAGTAGATCATCTTCAGGTTGAAGACGCCGTGCCCGCGACTAACCTCCTCCACGATTGCGTGCTGGGCAGAACTTCACGCCCAAGTTTGCTCCACTCAGCAACCGCCGGGTTCTGCTGCAGAACTTAGCGCGGCCGTTCCCTTGTGGGGAGTTCACGCTTGTAGTCTTCTCGATCTCCCTCGCTTCTTCAACTCATGAGGGCAGCCCTCTCGCTTGAGCTGGGTGCAGAGGTGTTGCAATCCTTGCAGCGCCGTTCTTGTTCGGGAGCGGGGTGGCCTTGAATCACTCTGACTTCGCGTCGCCTGTCCTCCTGATGTTCATTCTGGACTTGCCCTGAAGGCCGGCGGTCCTCTCCTTGTCTCTTCCTACCAAAGAACTGCGCTGGTCCTGCTTCGCTGGTCAGGTGAAGATCACTGGCTGGCATTCAGAGCCTGTGTGTGGTAGGAGATGCGGCAATGAATCTTTTTTCGCCGAGGCCTCTTGACCTACTTGGCCCTAACTTGCACGTGATCGCGGGGGGCGTCGAGCGCAGCGTCGTCGCAGTGCGGGGGCGCCGAGAATAAGAAGTGCGTCCGAAGCCCCGGGGAAGATCAAGAAGCAAGGTCCTGCAGCTTGGCGGCGGCAACTCGCCCACCCAATTTTTGGACATGGCCACGGCCACTGCCAAGTTGCAAAAAAGACCTGCGCTCCAGATCTGTATCAGCAGCAGCGGCGGCAGCAGCAGTAGTAGTAGCCGGAGCATAAAGAGCAGCATCATCGCACCAACATCGACATCAAGAGCCATGACCAGCGACGACAGCGGCCGCCAACAACAACGATAGCGTCAACAACACCGCCGCCAACAATCGCAATAATAATAGCAGTAGCAAGCAACAGGCGACGCGCAACCAGCGTCAAGCGCCCAAGCAACAAGCAGCAAGCGACACGCGTCGCGCAACACGCAACGAGCAACAAACAACACGTGTCAAGCAATAAGCGACAAACAGCAAACATCAGGCAGCAAACAGCAAACAAGAAAGCGGCAACAGTCGACAAACAACAAGCAGCAAACAGCGAACAACAAACAACAGCAGCAACAATGACCGCGGCAATGACAGCCACAACAACAACTGCTGCAGCAGCTGCAACACCAACACCCCGCCGCCGACAACAACACCACAACCACCAAGAACAACAGCGCAATCAAGAGCGCTAGCAACAGAGTCAGCGACAGAAACAGCAACAACAAGCAAGACGGCAACACCAACCAGCAACAGCAACAGAAACCAAACGCAAGACAAACAGCCGCAAACAACAAAAACAAAAACAAACACACAACATAAACATCAAAATAAGCATCGCAAACAAACCACGGTGCAGGAAGCAAACAAGAAGCAGTAACTAACAAAACACGCCGTAAAAACAAAAGGCAAACACAACAAGCAACACACACACACACAACACACAACACACAACACACAACACACAACACACACACACACACACACACACACACACACACACACACACACACACACACACACACACACACACACACACACACACACACACACACACACACACACACACACACACACACACACACACACACACAACACACAACACACACACACAC